TCAGGCCCTGCCCACATCACAGAGACAGAGACCTGCACCCGCAGGGCCTGCCGTGGGCCCGCAGCCCAGGAGCGGTACAGAGCGCTCTGGCCCGTTCTGGGCCTTTCTGAGCCTGTTCTGTTGGAGGAACTTCACAGTGACCCAGTGTTTTTGTACTTGGAGATTTTTATTTATTTATTTAGTTTGTCATTGTATTTTGTTTTAATTTGCTATGGGGAGGGTGCACTCACCAGAGAGAGAGAGAAATCTCCCCCCAAGGGGGGATGGCCATACCACAGTCTCTTCTCCTCCACTCTCGTCTTGGGATTTAGGGCCCACACCCACATGCACCTGGAGTGTTTTCCAAGCTGCCGGGTCCCCACTGAGCCGGCCATGTGGGATCCAATTGCTTTAACCCCTGCACCACTGGCTGCCCCCACCTTGACACTTAAATGATTCATTTACTTATTTGGGGTAGGGTACCATAGCGTTCCCCACCGTGTGTGTGCAGCGTGTAATTATGAAGTCACCGACGTAGACACACTCGTCTTCTTCAACGCTGGGCATCACATCCTGTGGTGGGAGAAGCACGTGTTGAACCAGCAGTGATGGCGGCCTTGGGCGCTGGGTAACGCGGTGTGTGAGCTACTCAGCCCAGGCCGTCTGTCCTCTTCCCCCAGAGGCCCCTCTGCTGGGCCGTGTGAAGCAGCGCACCTAAGTATTTGAGGCGGCACATGCTGGAAGCATGTACCCTGACTCCACTTTCTGGGACCAAGTAAGGGGCAATAAAAACATAATCTGATCAGATACGGAAAAGATGTTGGGCCAGCAGGTGGGGTAGTGGTTGGGGCGCTGGCCCCCCGCGTGGTTGATGGCCTGAGTCCCGGGCCTGGCAGCTTGCTTTCTCACCCCCAGCGCACGTGCCCTATAGCAAATTAAAATAATAATAGTAATAATAATAATAAATAAATCTTTTTAAAATAAAACATGGAACAGGTACTGATGAGGAAGGTTGTTTACAATACAGAGCGTGCAGAAGTCTGTACCATGAACACACACGTGGGTTGCACACACACGCGCACACAGGGAAGGCAGCACAGCAAGGTGCTAACCATCAGTGTGTCTTTATAACAGGATGGTGGGTGGGTTTCTGCTGCAAGGGAGGTATTCCTTATTTTTGAAGAGTATAAGCATGCAGTGATTTATAATAATGTGAATTTCATTTTATAGCTACTGTTCTTTGATCTTACATGGCGCCAGGCATGGCTCTAAGATTTTTACATCTACCAGCTAGTTTAACCCCCACAACAGCCCCCCAAGGGGGTAGTACCATTACCCTGCACTTCACAGCCCAGTAACGGGCATAGGGCCTGGGTCACACCACGGCCTTCCCTGCTCTGGCAGACAAGTTTGAAACCCGGCCCATCTGGGTGTCAAAGAAAGTACTGCTGGGCATTTGTTTTTCAAATATTTTCAAATATTTTCTCAAAAATATTTAAAACCATACTGTCTCTGTTGTTTTAGAGTCACAAACAAAATTATGCAAAATTCTAAGAACTATTTTGAACATTATCTTTAAAATTCGGTATTTTGAAATTTCGAAAGTTGTTTATTAACTCTCAAGAACCATGGAGTGGGAACCAGCAGTTAGCGTAATGGCTATGTCGCTGGACTCTCTTGTGGTCAACCACGGTTCACGTCCCGGACCCGGTGGCTTAAAACCCACGCCGGGCGCGTGTGCGTGCGTGCCCAAGATCCCGAGAGGAGAATGGAGGAGAAGGGATTGCAGCGTGACCATCCCCCCTGGAGGGTGATTTCTCGCTTTCTGTCTCTCTGTCTGTCTGGCGAGTGCATGCGCCCTATAGCGAAAAACCTCTCCAAAAAAAAATTAAAGAACCATGGAGTATGAGTTAAATTTTTTTGATATGTAAATGTTTGTGGGGAAATGTAAAAATAAATTGAAATAAATAAATAAAAAAGAAAGAGAAAAGACATCCAGCATTACATCATGGTGGTAATACAACAGACGGATTATTTTTCACACCTCTAGGGTTACAACTGGGGTCTATCCCGAGCCAGGAGGTGGCAGAGTACCCCATGTGTACCCTTCACGCCTCTCTGTACCCCACACGGTTTCACACTCACACCTGATCTGGGAAGGGAGAGACCCAGGTCCAGTCTTTGTTCTGCCGAAAATGGACACGTTTTGAAACCTCTCTGTGCCTCACTTTTGTCACCTTTAAAGTGGAAGCGTCTCAAAGTACAGTAATTACAATTCCAATGAGTTGTTGGAGAACGCCCTTGTCCTTAGGAGTGTTTGGGTGCAAAGTGGCCGATGTCTGCCCCCAAGGCATGCAAGGGACAGAGCCAGCTCTATGGTTTCTCTCCTTGCAGGAAAATGAAGCTGCGGCGGGAGCTGGAGCCCAAGCTCCCCAAGCCAGCTGCCCCTCCTGCCCTTGACCCAAGCAGCAACAGCAGCCAACACCCACCAGCTGTGACCTTCAGCCCTGTTGACGTCCACGTGGAGACTCGGTGACCTGCACCCTGGCACCATCTCTGCCGCTGTCCAGAGACCCGTCTCCAGAGCAAGACCCAGAAGCACACTTCTCTGGCAGCCTTACTAAGAGTGCCCGTGGTCAGGTTGACAGAGGCCGCGTCTATGCAAGCCCTGATGCTTCAGGCAACCTTCAGCCTCATGCTGCCCGCTTCGCCCAGCCCCACCTGCATCCATGTCCCTGCTGCCACCCTACCAAAGAGCTGTGGGACACCCTGTGTCATCTGACCAGGTAGAGCTATGCTGGGAACCCACTGGTGTGGGCTTGGCTCTCTCCCTGCAACATGACAGACAGAGACAGACATGCAGCCCAGGAGCTTTCTGGTCAGGAGTCAGGGGTCAGGGCGTGCTCCTCCGAGTGTCACAATAGGGCCTGCCATGGGGATCATGTTGCAATTGGTACCATAGACACAGCTTTGTAGAGTAATATAGTCAATCCCGCGCTCAGGCATGGGGGAGCGAACTAACCCAAAACCAACTTGCTAATTCGCAGCTTGTTCCAGGGCTGGGTGACTGCTAGCTAGCTCCTAAAAATTGGTCTCACATTATTTCCTCTTTCAGAAGGTTATGAGAACAACTGAATTCTTTTCAGAAGGTTTCTGCTTCATTAGTTAAGAATCTGTAGCAGGACTGGGGTGGCCTTGAAGAATAGCCGTCTCCAGGCTGAGTTTGGGGCACGGTCTACGGGCCTGGACGATGCCGGTGACTGCTCAGGGCTCCTCCCCACGCAGACTGGCTGAAACTCCCCCTTGTTTGGCTTCTAAGCAACCCTGACTGTCCTGGGAACCTTACCTCCGAGGACCAGTATTTGAAGATTGGTTAGATTGCAGCTCTGTGTCCCTGCGTCCCTCCTGGTCAGCTTGCTGAGATTCAAGATGTACTCAAAGTGCCACACTCATGAGCCATTTCTCTGTAGGGAGCTGATCTCTGACTCCACAGCGTGGAGAACAGTCTACCCGGAAGGGACAGCATTTGGGAGTTGGGACGACCTGCCTTCCGAGCCCTAGTTCTTGGTTGCATGGCTTGGAAAAGTGACTCACCCTCTCCAAGTTCGGTTTTCAAACCCCAAAGTGGAAATGCTAACATCCACTTCGGGGAGTTATTAACGGTCGGGGAGTCAGTAACGCACTGTGCGGACAGTGTCTGCGGTGGAGCGGATGCTTCATGAGTGGGAGCCAGTATTCCTACTAGGACATCTCAATTGCAATTGAGGTCACAAATACCCAGTTTTAGGGGAGAAAAACATACACATTTGATCGCATTGCAATCATTCTGGAATCAGAATGCATCTTAACAATTGATGGGTCCCTTAAGGTAGTTGTATTTCTTCTTTTATCTTTTTCCTTCCTTCTCAAAAAACTGGAGCTCGTCTTTTTTTGCCAGAGCGCATGCTCACTCACCCGAGAGAGAGAGACAGAGAGAGACAGAGAGAGAGAGAGAGAGACCAGCAGAGGAGAAAGCACTGCCCCCAGTGGTCAAGCTGCAATCCCTTCTCTTGATCTCTCACTCCTTTCTGGATTTGGGTATACACGCACATGCACCTGGCATGTTTCTTAAGCCTCCAGGACTCAAACCTCGACCCATGTGGTCAGCCGTGTGTGACCCAGCTGCCTTAACCACAGGCTCCAGAGCTGGCCCCCACACTGTCTTTCAATCAGTTTTAACCAGTTGGGTGGCATCTTGAAAATAAGGTGAGAAATCTATATTCTGATACAGAAAGTGATGCTCTCTGACATTTAACCTCAAATTCGAGGAGTCTCTCTTTTGAGGTCACAGATACCCAATTTTAGGGGAGAAATAGTCACTTGAATAGCTCTAGAGAAATACCGGCAGTCTTCCTCCCAGCCAGCTTTTCGTCTTGTCTTTGAATATCCACCAGACACCAGACGCCTTGCAAGGTGCTTTCATATAAACCATCTCGGAAGATTTCAAGTTTGAGTTATTGAGTTAGGATTATTCCCAATAATCCTACTCACAGATGAGAATTTCTGACTCAAAGAGGGAAAAGTAAATCCTCGCTCAAAGTTGCACGGCCGGTAAGTTGCAAGGCGAGACTCCAGCCAGGTGCCTCTCACTCCACAGTTCGTCCTTTCATTCTCACACTCCCTGCCAGCCGGGCTCCAAGAAGCAGGGACTCTTCTGTGGGCTGAGTAAGAAGGGCAGGCTCGTCTCACGTTTGAGTGGAGTCAGGGAGGAGCTGCCAGACGGGGCAAGGCCACTCTGGTAGCTTCTCTGACCTCCATGTAATCATAGCCGAGGGGCCTTTTCTGAACCCAGCCAGGCTCCAAGGCCACCATGTCATTCACCCTGCTGCTTACGCTTGGGGAGCAGGGCTTGGACGAACCCTTGCCGGCCATTCTACCCTGTCAGCAGGATTTGAGGGCTCAGACGCCCAACAGAGACGCTCCCCTAAACATGTCCGCTCTAGAACAATGGTTGGCCATGTTCCAGCCCTAAAAGCAGACCCTGCCCGCACTGGGATCTCGCTGGGCTAGGTCTCGTACATGCTTCTCAAGGTAAAAGAAGGCTTGAAACGGAGGAGTGGGGGGACCGAGTGGGGAGGGAAGGCCAGCGGCGGGATCTTAGCGTTTTGTTTCTAAGTAGTGATGATAACTCAGTAAACATCCTGAAGGGCCCCGAGTGCAGGCTGAGGTGCTACCGAGTACACTGAGATTGGTCGCTGCCGCAGAGGAGCCCCCCGCTGGTCTCCCATGGCAGGGACTGTACCACGGGTGACATGTTTCGTTTCCGACCGGGTGCCTTTCTTAACTGAGCAAATGCTGCCTTTTCTGGCCACTGAATCAATCGAAGACATTAAACGCTTAAAAAAAAATGTTTGAAAATAAAAAGGTTTCAGTCAAACGTGTGTGGAATGGATTTCTGTTAAGTTTGCAGCTGACAAAGACCTTTTCTGAAAACGGCCTTTCCCTGACAATGTAGTGGGTTCCGTGGGAGAGTCTGAGCCTGTTGCCACGTCGCGTTAGCACTGCTGCAGGCTGGTGGGCAAGGCGGCCACCGGCCACGGACTCTCCCGTGAGTTAGAAAACGTGAACTTGCTCAGTTCTGAAGAAAGGACTCCATTTCACGGCCTGCAGTTAAATATCAGACGTGCTGAGAAACAAGTTTGGGGATCCCTGGGAGTATAGGAGACCATACAGTGATCCTCAGATCACCAATAATGATGTCCATACACTAAGCTCCTACTGTGTGCTAAGCACGTGATAGGTCCTTTAGCCCTCACACTCCATCTGCAGGAGCCATCATTCTCTCTATTTTACGGATGAGGAAGCAGGCTCAGGGAGGTGACTTGTTCTTGGTTAAGGCAGCTGGATCTCACATGGCTGACTGTGTGGTTCGAGTCCCAGACCCAGTAGCTTAAGAAACACACTGGCTGGGCTTGTGTGCGTGCGTGCCCAAAATCCTGAGGAGAATGGAGGAAAAGGGATCGTGGCCATCACCCACCCTTCCTCTCCAAGGGTGTCTTCTCACGTTCTCTGTCTCGCTGTCTCCCTGGTTGGTCTATATACTCTATAGAAAAATTTTAAAAAAAGAAAGAATAAAAAAGGAAGCAAGACCGTGTCCTGCTACGAAAGCTAGAAAAGGGCAGATACTTGCTTTCCCAGGGTACCACGCAACCGGGGCCAAGGCACGTGGCCTAGGGTCTTCAGATCAGACACTCCCACCACAGACCTTGCATATGAAAGCTGGGGACAGGGTCGGCAGGTGGCATGGTGGTTAAGGGTGCTGGACTCCCACATGGTCAAGTGTGGTTCGAGTCCAGAACCTGGCAGCTTGCTTTCTCACTTCCCCTCTCTCTTGCTCACTCTCACCCTGTCCCTCTCTGGTCAAATCAAAATAAATAAATAAATAAAAGTTAAATAATTTTTTTTTTAATCTCATTGGATGGATTTACCGCATCCAGTTTACCCGCTCACCAGCTGCAGGCCATCTGGGTTGTTTTCACTTTTTGGTTGTTACGGGTGACGGTGCGTGAGCACTCAGGGACAAGCTCTGTGTAGCATCTGCTTTCAGCTCTCTTGAGCACATGCCTTAGGAGGTGACTCGCCACGTTGTGTGATGATTTGATGTTTAATCTTTTGAAGAAACATTGAACTGTTCTTGGAACGGCTGCGCCATGTAGCACCCCAGTAATGCAGGGGTCCGAGTTCGCCACGTGCCCCCTGAACTTGCTACTGTCACCCCTTTCATGCGACTCATCTTCGTGCCTAGGAGACGGTGCCTCATGGTGGTTTGGACTTGCATTTTCCTGATGGCCAATAATGTCGAGCATCTTTTCATCACATGTGGGCAATTTTTCTATCATTTTTGAAGAAACGTCTATTTAAATCCTTCACTTGCTTTTAAGTTGGGCTAATTTTTTTTCCTTTTTACCAAAGAGCACCAAAAAAAAGACAGAGAGACAGAGAGGGGGAGGGGGAGAGAGAAAGCACCCCAGAGGGCGTGCTCACACCACAACGCCTTCTCCACTTCTCCGTCCTGCTGGGATTCAGGGCACGCACGTACACGCACCTGGCATGCTTTTCAAGCTTCCTGGGGCTGGAATTCAAACCTCGGTTGATTTGGGATTCAGCTCTCTTAACCACTAGAGTACAGGACTGGCCCTAGTGACTGCCTTTCTAAATCTCTTAGTTTCTTTTCTTTTTTTTTTTTTTTGAGAGGTTTTCGCTATAGGGCGCGTGCGCTCGCCAGACAGACAGAGACATAGAGACAGAAAGCGAGAAATCACCCCCCAGGGGGGATGCTCACGCTGCAATCCCTTCTCCTCCATTCTCCTCTCGGGATCTTGGGCATGCACACACACGTGCCCGCCTTGAGTTTAAGCCGCCGGGTCCGGGACGCGAACCGCGGTCGACTACGTGGGAGTCCAGCGACATAGCCATTACGCTAACTGCTGGTTCCCTAAATCTCTTAGTTTCTTTTATTTTTTAATTTATTTTTTTTTTCTAGAGGGACCTTTGCTATAGGGCACGTGTACTCACCAGAGAGACAGAGACACAGAAAGGGGGGATGGCCATGTTGCCATCCCTTCTCCATTCTCCTCTCAGGATTTTGGGCATGCACGCATATGCACCTGGCGTGTTTTAAGCCACTGGGTCCAGGACTCGAACCACAATCAACTACATGGGAATCCAGCAACATAACCATTACTGGTAACCATCTGCTGATCCCTAAATCTCTTAGTTTCAGGACCAGCAGGTGGTATAATGGTCATGTCGCTGGACTTCCACGTAGTCGACAGTGGTTCGAGTTCTGGACCCAGTGCCTTAAAACTCACAGCGGCATGAGTGCCTGCTTGCCTAAAATCCCGAAAGGAGAATGAAGGAGAAAAGATTGTGGCATGGCCAGCCCACCCGGGGGGTGATTTA